TAACACAAGCTAAGCAGCTAGAAAAAAGGAAGGTACCTACATGAAGTTTGAACAACGGATCAACATCATGGCACACAGGTAGTAACCCATAAGTGCTTTGTTCTTTCTTCTAACTCAAGTCTGAGTCCGAGAAGCTCAGCACAGCAAAGTGCACAGGCTCTGTAGCACCGGCGAGGATCCTGAAATACTTTAGGGTCGATTTTTAACTCAAAATTGTTGTCCGGCTACTGTTAGGCTACTCTTTTCGATTTCCAACTGCCAAGGGATTTTTTAGGTACGCAACAATACACAAGGGCGTCCGATCTCACTAACCAGAGACCAGGGGGAATTGCTAGAAGTCCAAGTCCACGTGAAAAAATCCCAGCCCTCACCGGGGATAGAACCCGGAACCTCCAGCACGCAAGGCGGACACCATGCCTCGAGACACCCAGTCACATAGGTAACTACATTTAACTCTTCTCTGTGTAGTCTTATGGCATAAGCAGCAGGATAACAGATAAATGAATCTTACCAGTCTTGAGCATGGTTGGTGACCTTGAGTTCAGACGGCGGCAGAGGACTGACCAATCGAGAGATCTGTGCCCAAACAAACTGATACAGCTCCTGATTGGTTGTCGTCTCACTACAAGGGATAATGATTGGTGTGCCGAATAGGCTTGGCCTTGACTTTTGCGAGGACAGGAAGTACACATCCATCAAGTTCTGTCAGGGGAGACAATCAGATATGATACAAGATTACCGAAACACAAACAAAATGGCCACACACACACAAAAACAACATAGAACGTAATCATACACTAGCATCCAACAATGTAATAATAAACTCCCCTTGTGGGTTCTGAGGTTTTGTCGATGATTCACTTCCCTACATAAGGTTTAGCTCTCCCCTGGAGGTTACAATAAATAGACCCAAAAAAATAAACCCACCTTCAGCCATATCTAAAGTCGTCCCCATGTGGGATGACATTTTTTTTTGTTATTTAAAGCCCCACCCTGGCTTTTGCCGGGGGGTCCTGAATATAGCTGGGCCATAAATATGGCCTAAAGGCTAAAAAGGGGTTTCTGGGACCTCTCCACGGATGATCCTCATCTGCATGGTGGCACTTTGAGTCACCGGGTGTTTACTGCTTGTGTGATGTCCTGGTGGGGTAAAACAAGAAAGAAAGAAAAGAAAGACCCACCTTCCCCCTAACAAGCATGTCACACAAGGCAACTAATTAGGGATGTTTCCTTCCCAGCCAGAGTGTATCTGCCTAAGAGGTCAGCAACTAACAGTCTGTATACAAATAAACAAGATATGTAAAACTGATGTGCAAGCAAAACTCAAGTTCTCGAATAGAAGGACCAAAGTCCAGAAGTGGACGAACAACCAAAACTTTTTGCTGGAGTTTACAGCCAGTGAAGGCTAAGAAAAAGAAAGATGTCTGGCTTGAAACAGGTCTAAAAACTCTTTCTCAAAGGTAACAAAAAAAAAGGTAAAGTCAGGAGATGTGAAGAACCAACGTCATTGCACACGGTTATAAACCATGAGTGCTCTGCCACCAGTACTGACAGCTGGTAAGAAACTGTCCACCTGTGTTGCCATCCGCGCGCAACTCCCTAGCTATAGCGACGTTCCTCCATTGCCCAAGAGTTTCAACTCTAGTACCAATTTACCTAGAAGCTGGGTGAACCCCGGGAACCGCCTGGTTTTGAACACCGGCCGTGAGTTGCAGCGAGTCGCAACTGGATTTGAAAGTGAGTCTCCTGTCATTGCTGAAATCACATGTGTTGGGCAGAAAAGTACAGACATCACAGCCTAGCTGTAAATCACAATGTGACAACCACCATTATGGGCGAATGCAGAAGAACAGCAAACATCATCAACACCATCAAGTGGCTTGCAGACTGATAAGGGGCGATCACTCTCTCCACATCTTAAGATCTCAAACAGCCTTATTCATCCCGATACCTTTCTGTTCCATGCCAAAAAGCAGTCAAGAATCTTTGCTGGCAGTCTTCCTCCGTATCTCTTTCTGTAATTAGTGCAAACTGTCACAACATTTAGTACAAAATACTAAATATGGACACACAATCATACTGCTACTGGCACAATAGAAGTGGAACTCTGTGTTAGCTGCTGAAGATGGGAACAGAGCGCATATGGGTTTTCTTAATCTTTGTTCACGGGCTGCATATGAGTTTTCTTCTTTGTTCACAGGCTGTGTATTGGTTTTCTTCATCTTTGTTCACAGGCTGCATATGGGTTTTCTTCATCTTTGTTCACACGCTGTGTATTGGTTTTCTTAATCTTTGTTCACAGGCTGTGTATTGGTTTTCTTCATCTTTGTTAACACGCTGTGTATTGGTTTTCTTAATCTTTGTTCACAGGCTGTGTATTGGTTTTCTTCATCTTTGTTCATAGGCTGCATATGGGTTTTCTTCTTATTCTTTGTTCACAGGCTGTAAGCTCGAGTGAAAAGTAATGGCTATTAATGTATGTGGACTTTGGCTTTGTATCAGGGCCTGAGTTTTGCGTGTGCATCCTTTTTACTGGCTCATTTGTGTGCAGTTGGTTGTGTCCTGCCGCTAGGGCAGATGCACTCCCCAATTAGCTGATTCCTACGACACGCTTGTTGGGCAGACATATTGTCTGTTCTTGGGGCCCCAGAACCCACATGGCGAGCTTATGGCTTTTTACCAGAGCTATGAGCTCAACTTAGCTAAGCTTAGTAAAAAATATACTAAAAAAAAAAAAAAAAAAACTTCTAATAAATATGAAATGATTCACATTAATATGTTACAATCAAACATCAACATATTACAAGACACCATCACGAACCACTGACTATCATTAAGAAATATATAACAAAACAATAAAGAAAGTCATTTAGAAAATCTCAACAAAAATGTATAAATTCCTTAAAAAAATAATAATAGTTAAAAAAAAAAACACACACTAAGGAAATCATGACAAAACTGAAAATATATAAAAATTCTTTAAGAAATTAAAAAAAAAAATTATGAAGAAAACCCTATCATTGCCCCCCCCCCCCCCCCCCCCCCACCCAAAGATAAAAAGGAAATTAATTAATTAGACAAATCATAATAAAAATGAAGACTTCATTAAAAAAAAAAAATTCTTCGACTCTTTGAGTCCCAAGGAACGCATCATGCGTTCACAGGTTACTGCCTAGAAGCCCAATGAAAGCATGATGTGCCGATTTTACGTCTTTCTTGACTACCCCTTGGGCCTGTGATGCTAAACCCCCTGGGACTCAAAGAGATAAGAAAATCATTACACAAAACATAGAAATCGTGAAAAACATTAATAATGAGATAATACATCCTGACACAAGAACGTCATGAGACCAGACGTACCATCTTGCGATGAACTCCAATAACAAAATGTTCAAATCTGTCGGTAGTTCTGGAGCTCTCGGAGGAGGAAGTGTTGGCAATGCTGACATTGCTAGGACTGCGAGAGTGGCTCGGTGACCTTGGCACACTAGAAATCACCTGGGGCAGCTGGCCATTGACCTTGGGACTACTATGGGATGAATTGTGACCCGATTGGATTCCTGAGAAAAAAACAATGGAATATGAAGCTGTACATGCAAGAAAGGATGGTGACACAGAGAAGACAAGGGGGAGAGGTGGTTTTAAGCATTGCTCAACTGTGTAATAATAATAAGTTGTTTTAATTTTTTTTAAAAAGGTGCAGGTATTTACCACAAATTGAGTCACCGTGGCGTTGGCGGCTAGACGCCCGCCCATGGAACGGAAGGTCGTGGGTTCGCATTCTGACGGAGCCGGAGATTTAAAAAAAAATGGCCTTGACTCTCAGGTCGACCTAGCTTTGAGTGGGTGCCAGGTACAGTCCTGGGAAGTAAAGGCGGCTAACATCACCCATCTTGTGCCGTTGGTCTAAAAAATATAAGTCTAGCTTGATATACTTCGAAGAGGTGTGGAAAAGGGTCCTTCACTTTTTAAGATAATATAAAACAAACAGACAAAAATATTACACAGCTGTCAATGGTCACTGGAGTTGTTCAACATACTCGCAAATTGCTTAGGTGGGGGAGCGAAGGACTCAGTGCACCCCCCCCCCCCCCCAATCAACCGCGAGTGGTAGGGTCCTCAGGACGTCTAAGAAGAAGCCTGAGTCTGAAGAAATCTCAGCGCAGGGCACGAACTCCGTTGCACTGGCGAGGATCTTACAATACTTTTGGGTAGATTTTTAACTCCAAATTTAGGCTACTCTTTATAATTTCCAACTGCCAAGAGATTTTTTACGGGCACAAGAATACACATGGGTGTCCGAGCTTACTACCCAGAGACCATGGGAAATTACTAGAAGTGAAAAACCCCAGCCTTTACCGGCACCTCCAGCACTCGAGGTGGATACCACACCTCAAGACTACTCAGCCCCCTTTTTTCAATCAATTATGATAAAAAAATTATCGCCCATGCCATGATGTCAAATTGTCTAGCATCTTCTGTTTTGGTCTCTCTCTGTCCCTCCCCCCTCCCCCCCCCCCACAGGTCACGTTCCAAAGATCACGATGTACTCCAGTTTCTCCATCTCCTGACATGATTAAAGAATGTAGATTGCCTCTCCTTCAGATGTGGACAAGCAGCTCTCTTAATGAGTCAAGTTTCTTTCAAGACCTCAACAGTCGGTACTCTCACATGCAGACAAGTCCTGTAGGACTCATTCCACTGTTGCCATACACTGACCTGACAATAGAGAAAACATGGACAAACAAAGGAATCAGTAGAGAAACAAGATTATTATAACCTGGAGAAAATGAGGCACCTGGGTGTAAACAGAGGGTCTTGCCAGCTCACCACACTCAGAGGAAAGGCAAGACGGACATTTATTCAGATTGTGACCGGTACCATCAGTACTGCAACTCTGCGCTGAAGATGAGGACAGAGCATGGAATGGAATGCCCCGAGTGCTGTGATGTCAGTTCTTGACTCAACTCAATTCAACTAGAGAAAACATGATATCTAACCTTTAACAAGTGCTCGCTGAATGTCTGGTAAATCCAGGCTCTCTCTGCTACCAGTGTTGGGCTGTGAGTTAAGCGATGCGGAGCCGTTCTCGTCCTCATCTGTCATTGGTTGAATCAGAGGTGGAGGCGGCAGTTGGTAGAGAAACAATGAGCCAGGGATGAGCAAACTTCTGATCTTCTGGTCATCTCTTGGCAGGGACTGGTTGCGAAATGAAAAAACAGTTATATAATTTTCACAACTGTGGACAGACAACTCTCCATGACTTGGACAGACAACTCTCCACAACTGTGGACAGACAGAACTGTTCCCTTAGCTTTGAATTTTACAATACTGTACCTAAGGTGTCAGTGGGAACAAGACTGTACCTAAGGTGTCAGTGGGAACAAGACTGTATCGAAGGTGATAGTGGGATCAATACTGTACCTAAGGTGATAGTGGGATCAATACTGTACCTAAGGTGATAGTGGGATCAATGCTGTATACAAAGTGACTGCAGGATCAATACTGTACCCAAGGTGATAATGGGAACAATACTGTACCTAAGGTGATAGTGGAAATCAATACAGTAACTAAGGTGATAGTGGGATTAATACTGTACCTAAGGTGATAGTGGGATCAATACTGTACACAAAGTGACAGCAGGATCAATACTGTACCTAAGGTGACAGTGGGATCAATACTGTACCCAAAGTGAAAAAGGAACAATACCATACCTAAGGTGACAGTGGGATCAATACTGTACCCAAAGTGAAAATAGTAACAAAATTGTACCTAAGGTGACAGTGGGAACAATACCATACCAAAAGTGACAGTGGGATCAATACTGTATCCAACCCAAAGTGACAGTGGGATCAATACTGTATCCAAAGTGAAAGTAAACAATTTTATACCCAAAGTTAGCGTTTGAGAAACACTGTCCGCTGTGTGAACCTGTTTGATTTCTGATCACTGTTTTTAGAATCAAAATCACAGCAGACCGGATATACCCATAACAAATTGTCTTACACCCATAACAAATTGTCTTACAGTGTGTAGATGCTAACTGTTCTCTTCCTTTCATACATTCCTCCATGGCAGACCCCCTCCCAATTGCACAATTTTTACTCAGGTTATTTCATCTAAATTTGTTTCTTCTATCAGTATTCGGTCATAAATGGTCTTCAGAACTCTCTTTTGTCCAGTACAAGTGTTCCCTTAGCTGTCGCTTTTGTAGACTTTAGCTATCACTTGTGTCTATTTTTGGCCCGCCATGCTGATTTGTGCGCATTTCTCCGGTCCCTGACATTTTGGCCCCCAATTGTTCCTAACTTTACTCCCCCTGAGAAGTGCACTCGCCATTTCTAGTTATTGCCCTTACACAGAATCAACTGAGCAGGCACTTGATTGATTTCACATGAGAACAAACAAAATGGCAGATTTGCTGCTTTTTTCCGCTGCCGGCCACAGATGCTAATCTCTAACTTTTAGTGGCCATGTCAATGATAACAGATATGAGTGCAAATTTAAACCAATGACCACAGAGATTCCTAATCCTGGGTACATAACCTTGCAGAGGTTAAGGATAGATATCCGGGGGTGAGTGAATTTACAGGAGATATCTTTATCAGGTGAATTTATATTACTGATCTGATCTTGCGAATATTAATAATTCATCAAGTAAAAGAAAATCTTAATTTTCACTGTTCTCTATTTAATTCGCCGGAGCTATTAAAGTCATGCTCTGTGCAGCGCTCTCGACAGACAGCTAGTTGTTCTGTGGAGAGAGAGACTGAGCCATACGGGATAAAACCTGGTGCCACTTCTGCCATTAGGCGTTGTGGGGAGGAACAGTCTGCGATCCACTGCTTGATGAGCTTCTGTCATTCCGTGCTGATGTAGAAGCTCTTTAACATCATCAATCCATGTTCTCCTAGGACAGCCTCTTGATTTCACTTCAGATCTTTTTTTTTTACCGTTGGCATTTGTTCTGGCTAAGTCTTACTTAATGACCAAACCATCTGATCTTCTATTTCTCAATCAATTTGATGTATGGTGTTGCTCTTACAGTCTGTAAGACAATATCATTTCTAACTTTGTCTCGGGGGTTAAGTTGGCGGCTTTTCTCAGGCATCTCATTTCACAAATGTTAATTTTTCATAGGTTAGCCTCTGATAAAGTCTGTCTGGCACTGGTAGCACAGTGTTGGTATGAATATACTGTTTATAATCTGTTTCTTGGCGCTCATACTAATGTCTTAATAACGGTGTCAGTTTTCATATAAGTGAACTGGCTCGCTGGCATCTTGTTTCTATTTCCCGATATATTCTCCCGTAATTTTTTTTTCAGACAAGTACCTATGTAAAGTAGGTAATAATCCTAAAATGTGGCCAATACCGGTCCCAATCATGGATGAGAAAGGAGGAAGGTTGGGCTTAAGGACAGCTTCTTTACCGAGTAAAAACTCTTGCAGGAAATGATGCCATTCCAGTAAACACCCTAAAAGTAATGTGAGAAGCCGAAGGTGCTGGACTGAATTCCATCCATGATATCAAAAAGATTGCATAGGATAGCATGGAATAGAAGAATAGTCAGTGAGCCCGAGGTGACACATAATGGCACCACAGGACAATGATGATAAATATTCTTAAAGACAGCAATAGGTACACACATCCATTACTGCGGACCTTCCGAGCAGAAAACCTCAATAAGTTCTCCCAACAAACGCATAATAAAAAGATTAAGAACCACTAATCTGTCAACTAGCACGGCCGGTAATCATAAACCGCACTGCGGTGAGTGAAAATTCAAGTTATAAGGGACAAGTTTGCTTTCAATGAAAATAGCCACCGCAATGTTCTGTAGAAAACATGGCAGCTCAAGATAAAAGAAAAATTACTAGTCAACTGTCACTGGTGTTATAAAATGTCTTTAAGATAATTCTCCAAGAGGTAAGTACGATGCTATTATAATGTCGAACATTTAAAGCTGTAAACCCACTGACCCTTATCAAACATGCAGTAAAAAAGTGACTAAATAAAGTTGCTGAAATCGGTCGCGTTGAGCTGAAATGCGCAGATTCAATAGCTGAGCTAAAAATCACACATCCACCTCCCCCCCCATTCACACAAAAAAGGCGCTAAGCAAAGAAGCAAAAAATACATGACAAGTATCTAAAGATAACATCCTCCTATAATGTATAAAAACACTCAACCCCCTTCCTCAATTAAACTACCAACATCATTTACCTCCCTCTCTTCCCCACAAATTATTCCCTTACTGCACAACACCACACAATTGGACGCAACAGCCGTACACACAATCTGATGTTTACATCCGCCATAACCCACAACGTAAACCATCCATAAACCCGACCAATCAGCTCCACTTTTACAATGGCAAGCCAAGTCCTGGCCAGGTACTCCAGCAGTCACTTTGCTGATATCTCACTGCAGCCACGGAACGAGAATAAAAACCGTCCTGGTATCAGTTCCTGACATATGTTTTTACTAAGTTGTGAAGAATCCAGGGTCAAAAATGGTCCCTAATATTTGTCACATGTTGGATTTTTTAAACCTCAGATTTGTTGCTGATTGTCACTGGATTCATATGGAATTACCAATAATTAACATGGTCATCACAGAATAACACAAAATGAGAAGGAACAGTTTGTGAAAAACTCACAATCATTGTGGTGACATATTCATTGGACAGCTAAAAATACAAATGCCAGCACCTGTTGTTTAGAGATTGTGAACAAAGTTCATATTTTAAAGATATCCGGTTCGATTACAGTTGTAGGCGAACTGGCAGCAGACCATTTTTACACTAATGAATTTTTAACAATTTCATTTTTCTTTCTCATTTATCTGCATAAAAACTGTTTTCTCTGAAAATATAAAAAGATATATAAAGGGCTAATCAATAAACATTAAAAGAGTGCAGCATTAAATGGAACACATTCCCTGGGCCGTAAGAAACCCAATAGGTATCAGGTCATCATGCCATGACCTTGTGACCTCTACCATCAAGGCTCACAGGAAAATTTGGCATCAATTTGGCATTTTTTTTTAAAAGTCTGGAGCCATAAGGAAACCCCCTAAATACTATTTTAATGTATTAAATTCATATCCTGGCCTATTAAACCCTGCGCAAGTGCACACAGAACCAATGGATTTTACTTTCCTTTTTTAGAACAGATCACTGCAGACATGGCGATATATCGGCATTTAGGGGTCAGTGTCACAACCGGTAGTGATCAGATTTAGCCATCTTGGGGTGACAGGGTTAACAGTCGAAAGGTTAACAACACCAGGGAAAAAAACGCAACCATCATGGCCTGCAATGAAACTACTGGCTACATCCTAACCAGCTACCAGGGTACTGTTGCTACATATGAGAGCTACCTAGGGCACCCACAAAACTGTGTGCAGCCTCATTACCCAGAGTATGACTACTACCACGAAGGTAAGTAGTACAAACAACTCTACAACCAAGAAGGTAAGTAGGACAAACAACTCTACAACCAAGAAGGTAAGAAGTACAAATAAATCTATAACCAAGAAAGTAAGGAGAACAAACAAGTCTATGATTTAAACGGTGGTATCATGCAGATACTGCTGCAAATGTGAAGGGACTGTCTTCATATAAGACTCACATAAGTGTGAGAGCTAGGCCTTCAAATAAGTATGAAGAGTTAGGCCTTCAAATAAGTCTGGAGAGTTAGGCCTTTACATAAGTGTGAAGAGTTAGGCCTTCAAATAAGTCTGAAGAGTTAGGCCTTTACATAAGTGTGAAGAGTTAGGCCTTTAAATAAGTGTGAAGAGTTAGGCCCCCAAATAAGTATAAAGAGTTAGGCCTTCATGTAAGTGTGAAGAGTTAGGTCTTTAAAAAGGTGTGAAGGGTAAGGCCTTCAGATAAGTGTGAAGAGTTAGGCCTTAAAATAAGTTTAAAGAGTTAGGCCTTAATATAAGTGTGAAGAGTTAGGTCTTCATAAAAGCGTGAAGTGTTAGGCCTTCATAAAAGTTTAAAGAGTTTGGCCTTCACACTTTCTAGATCACGGCCCAATGTGTGATACAAACTACCAGATCTGTGAGCAACAGGAACTTGACAGCTCCACCACTACAATACAGCCACCGATTCTTCAAATCTAATTCAGATTTTCTTGACCAAATACAACATTTCTCTGGTTTTTCTCGCTCCTTAGTCCTCTAACATGGCTC